TCCGAGGGGGGGCAGGGAGAGACGGGCCTGCCTGCCTCTGCCTGCGCTGTGGTGTGTTTTGCCCCGACGGACGGACGGACCGACCTGCCAGCTGTCTCCGCAGTAGCAGCGCGGACTGGAGCTCCGTCATTCTCCCCGCCGGTGCCCAGGGAGGGGAGTGTGGGGCGGCCGCTGTGGAAGCGACGGCGTGCTCCTCCTCCTCCTCCTCTTGCCGGGCAAGAGCCAGCCGGCTAGCGCTCGCCCCTCCTTGCTCGAGCCGACCCCGCCGCCGGGGGCCTTCCCGTCCTCTCAGCGGCGCCGCCTCGCGTCCCTCGTCCGGGGGTTGGGAGGGGGCTGGGGGGGAGGAAGGGGGCGAGGGGGAGCAGCCGCTGCCGCTCCTGAGGAGATTCTGAGGCGGTGGCGGGCGACGCGTGGCGGAAGAGGAGGGGTCCCGCCAGCCCCGCGTTTCTCTCTCTCTCTCCCTCACGGAAACCTTCCCCTCAGCTTCTGCCGCTTTTTCTCTTCTTTCCCTCTTCCTTTTTTTTTTTTTTTAAATGAAAAATCTTTCCTTTCTCTCTTTTCCAGCCCCCCCTCCCCTCTTCACGGAATTTCTCTGCACTCGGGCGCCGCGGCGTGCAGGCGCACTGCTTGCTCCTCTTTCCGCGCAGGCGCCTTCTCTCGCTCTTTCGCCTCCTTTTCTTTCTCTCTCGATGGTCCGCCTACAAAGGAGCGAGGGAGGCGCCCGCCATGTTTGGATTTGCATCCAGCAGGAGATGCCGCCGCCGCCCCTCGCCACCCGACTCGCCCGCCTCCCTCCCACGGCACACCAGGCAACGTCTCGCGGCACACTAGTGTGCCGCGGAACACCGGTTGGGAAACACTGGTCTATGCAGATGTTTTGTCTAGGTTTTTTTGGGGGGGGGCGCTTTTAAGCACTGCTGATTTTCCTTCTGTGAAATGGGTATTTTGTGGTCCTCACAACAGATTTCAAAATGTGTTGGGGACCCGAAAGGAGTAAAATGTTCCAGGGGCAATGCTTTGCAAGGGTTTGGCTTCCTTGGAGAGGAGAGATCATAGAAAAACAGAATCACAGAATTGTAGAGTTGGAAAGGACTCCAAGAGCAGGAATCACAGCTAAAGAATCCCTGGCAGATGGCCACCCAATCCTGGTTTAGAACAGCGGTTCTCAACCTCTGGGTCCCCAGATGTTGTTGGACTACAACTCCCATCATACCTGAGCTCTGGCCTTGCTAGCTAGGGGTGATGGGAGTTGTAGTTCAACAATATCTGGGGACCCACAGGTTGAGAAAGGCTGGTTTAGAAACTTCCAACCAGGGAGAGTCTACCAGCACTACCAAGGAGCTCATTGCAGACTTAGAGCGATTACTTTCAAATATGCAAGCCGGGCATAGGCCAGGGGTAGGGAACTGCATCTCTCCAGATGTTATGGGACTGCAGCTCCTATCATCCCTTAACATTGGCTATGCTGAATGGGGTTGATGGGAGCTGGATTCTAGCAAATAGGAGGGCAATAGATTTTGCACCTCCAGCAACGACGGAGATTAATCGCTTAAGCACTCTTATCAAATCAGCAGACCCATTGCCCCACACCACATCCCCAGAGAGAGCTGCCCCAAGATATTTTCAGCCTTCCAGGGACACAGCTCATTTCTCTCTCCCTATGTCTGTCTCCCAAATTTTAAGTGCAGCTTTTCTCATACACAGACTTCACATATCAACCCCAAACCTTTAGCTAGGAGTGGGTGATGGGGAAGGTGTTCCACTTTCCCCAAATAGCTTTCCACATTCCAGGGAAGATGTGGGACTGGGAAATCACCCTCTAACAATTAGTGCCCTTAAAGAGACATCCATCACTCATCTTGGCTCAATTACCTGCAATTTTTCCAAACAAAGGATGTGGCTGGCACAAATTGCTCACTGACCACTAAGGGACATCAGACAGTCATTCTGGCCCATTAACTCCCTTTCATCCAAACCCAAGACTCATTCGCGGCAATCAGGTAAAAAGCAACATTATTCCAATGATAGTGACAATTCTGTCTCCCTTGCTCTTCACAACAAGGCTGTTGTTTACTGGAGCACCAAGGGTGCTGAGAGTCCTTCGGAGGCCCCTATTCCCCTCACAGAGTTACGATTCTCCGAGTGGCTTAACAATCAATCCCTCTCCACAGGGAACTCTGGGAATTGTAGTTCTGAGAGCAGAACAGAGGGTTTCCTAACAACTCAGCACTCTTAACAAACTACAGCTCCCAGAAGTCTTGGGTGGGATACTATGACTGTTTAAAGTGGTATCATAGTTTGGGGAAGTTTTTAATGTTATCCTAGTTTCAGGAGGCTTTTAATGTTTGGTATTATTATTATTATTATTATTATTAATCTTTACTGGAGAACCCCTGATTTTGCATATGTCTTTCCTGGTCATAGCTGTCAACCGTCCCTTATTTGACGGGAAACTCCTTTATCCCAGCGCCATGTCCCGCTACTGTCCCTTATTGATGATGTCCCTTAAATTTTCCGGGTTTCATGCTCGCCCGGCTTGGGAGGGAAGCAGCAGCTCGGGGTCTTCCGCCGCGCGAGAGAGCGCGCGCTGGCACCGTCGTCCTGGCGCGAGGAGTTCCATCGGCCCTTCCCCGCCCAAGAGACGGGGGGGGGAGAGAGACTCTCGCCCAGGTCTCCCGCGAGCCCGGAGGCGGCCTGAGGGAGGAGGAAGATGAGGGGATGGGGAGGGACACAGAAGGGTGGAGCTTCAGCGGCCGCCATAGCGCCGCAACCGCCTCATGCCGGATTGACAGCATCTGTCAATCCTACCAATGTATGTAACTATTAACAATAGTAAAATCCCTTATTTTGGCTGCTGGTCCCTTATTTTCAAATCTGTAAGTTGACAGCTATGTTCCTGGTATCTGTGAGTGCAGCATAAACAACTGCAAGTGTCTCCAGAATTTGAAACCAAGATTGATGTCCCAGTGGGTGTCAAGGGGAGAGTTTGCAAATGCCAAGGATTGGGCAGCAAAACGCAGTCCTGTCCTGCCTTACCTTGTCTCTTATTTCCATGTTGTTCAAAAGGGAAGTGAAGCAAGCTCAAAAAGGGCTACCCATTTTTTTTCTTTCTGGGCAGCAGAAGCATGTTATTAACCAACAAGCAGGCCTGCTGCACAGGGACCTTTAAATGACAGTCACATCCCTTTAGAGGTTATTAAGAATCGTAATTGTGCATTTTCAAGATCCCAGCAATAACTGCTTTAGGACGGGTGTTCAAAATGCTGAACTAATGGTTGCTTGAAGCCTGAACTTCCAGCTATGTTGAAAGTGTATACTGAGTAACAGAATATGTTCCCCATTTGCATTTCATTCCATTTAATTGAAAAAATACAGAGCAATCTATTTTTCCCTTCTGGGTAATTAAAAGAAAATAGGCTTAAAAAACAACAACCAGCAATTTCAGGTATGCAAAACTTGAGAGAGAGCGTCATTGGTTTTACACCAGAAAGTAATTTATATGTGAACTTCCGAGTTCCAGAAGACGCTGTTCTTTAATCAATCAGCTGCTTCAACAAGGAATTTAATACTGTAGTGTAAACGTTTCATAGCTCAGAATACAGATGTCGTGCCGAAAATTATGGAACTGCTTTTTTTTAATTTAAAAAATTGACATTGTTTGGGATTTGATTGACAGTCTCTTCAGGGACAACAGAATGCAGGTGGGCATATGCACGATCAAAACTCGCTCCAAAACTCTATGTCTGAGGAGAAGGAACAGAAGGAGGAAATGCCATTTCACACAGTGTGTAGTTTGACATATGGCGTTTCCTTCCTCAGGATGTGGTAATGGCCACCAACCAATGGCAAACGAGAGATATTTATGGAGGTCTTAGAATGTATTTCTGTGCGCTGCTCTGGTTCGCCGGAAGCGGCTTAGTCATGCTGGCAGGAAGCTGTCTGCGGACAAATGCCGGCTCCCTCGGCCTATAGAGCAAGATGAGCTTGCAACCCCAGAGTCGTCCACGACTGGACCTAACAGTCAGGGGTCCCTTTACCTTTATTAGACTGTAAGAACAGTTCAAGAAGACGCTGCATCAGGTCAATGGCCCTTCTAGTCAAGCGTCTTGTTCCCAAGGTGGCCAACCAGATGCCTGTGGGAAGCCCAGAAGCAGGACCCCCAGTGCAACAGCATTCTCACCTCCTGTGTTTTCAACAACTGGTACTCAGAAGCATTACTGCCTCTGAAGGTGGAGGCGGAACACAGCTATCAGGGCTAGCAGCCGCCAGTAATCTTCACCTCCACCAATTTGTCCACCTGTTTTAAAGCCATCCAAAATGGCAGCCTCCGGGACAACAAGTCCCACAGTTTAACTATGCACTGTGTGAAGAAGTACCTTCTTTTGTCTGTCCTGAGGATAAGGCTGGCCGTGGCTATTTGCTACCCATGGAGGCCCTGTGCTTCTGAAGACCAGTTGCTGAGGAACAAACTGCTTGTTAGCCAATGCCGGAAAAGGACGCTAGGCCTGGTGGGCTGATCTAGCAGAGCTCTCCTCAACGTTTTTCTAGTCTAACCATCTGCCTATGTGTTTGATTTCCATGAGTAGAGAGGATTGGTTGAAATATGACTGAATCCGGCAGTTCTGCCCCCAGATTACTAGCAAGCAAGATCGACAGTGTCCATCTTGAAGCAGGCAAGTAGAGCTGATGAAGAAGGCAGCCAAGCAGTAGAGAGAGCAGTGTGTTAGCATGCACTATCATTAGCATTCAAAGCCCTAAATGGTGGGAGCCCCAAATACCACCTCCTTCCCCACAGACCCTCTCGGGGGCTAAGATCCGTGGAGGATGCCCTCTTGAAGCTCAGGTGGTGGTGGCTCGGGAGAGGGCATTCTCTGTGGTGGCCCCTAAGTCGTGAAACTCCCTCCCCACACTTGAAACTCATTTTTAGGGCTCCCTGTATTATGTTACTTGAAAATCGGGAGTGGCAGCCACACCTTTCCTTTCCTCATGGGCCAACTTACCTTCCAGAGGGCAGAAACGAGTCACTTGCTCCGGCATCAGCTTCCCCTGCTTGTGCTGACAGTACATCTCAGCAATCTCCTGCCGACACTGCTTGGATTTGGCTCGGGAGAGCGCGGAGATGGCCTCCTTGCCCGAGATTTCGCATTTGGGGGGCTGCTCGTAGGCGAGCTCAGGAGAGCTGTTCCCATTCTTCTTCAGATGGTGCTGCCTGGCCTGGGACCTGTGGATGTCTTTCAACTGGCTGCCATTGATGCTGGTCTTTGGGGCCGGGTGGCCGTACTGCAGCACCTCATTGGAGCTTTTCCCCAGGAGCGAGTTCTCTTTCACCTTCTCCTCCTGCTCCAGCTTCCTCCGCAAACGCTCCTTCTGCTTGCTCAGGGGCTTTTTCACCAGCTCCACCTGGTGCTTCTGCTTCTGTGTCCTGGGAGCAAAGTTGCTATTGTCTATATTTTCCAAGTCCTTGGGGACGGAGTTCTCGTTGTTGCTGTCCGTCCGCATTTTCTCCTTCGGCCGGTGGGAAAAGTAGCCATCCTGCAGAAGCAAAGGGGGAAAACGATTATTGCTCTGATAATTCGGGATGGTCACTGGCCTGTGTGGATCTGCAAGGTGCCAGACACTGAATCAGACCGTTGGCCCGTCTTCACATCTGCACCAGACCTTGAAAGCACATTCAATGCACATTTAAAGCACAATATCTCCTTCCAAAGAATCGTGGGAACATGAGTCATTATTTGTGAAGGGTGCTGGGAAATGTAGCAATGTATTGAGGAACATCTGGAGGGCACCATGCTAGCCACCCCTGGAATATGGAACTGAATCATTTCTCTTCTGTCTCTTCCATTCTGTTGTTGTTTTTTAATCTCTTTTAAAAATGGGTTTTCTTGAGCTATATAAACTCTTTAAAGTTCCTGTTGAAATATAAAGCTGCATGGAAGTTAGAACTGTGTAGAACACAGAAGGGAAGAGGATGAGGACCTAATTAGAATTATTTAGCTCTGACAAGGTGATGGGTTACCCACTCTTGCCTTACTGGCATTGGGAGGCTGGTCCCTACCAATTTCTGCCTTCCTTCCTTGCAACCAGTCAGGTGGTGGTTCTGCCTCCCATTAGCTCTGGCTCCCCCTACTGTTGGTCTCCCTGCCATCTGTCCAATGGGCACTAGCCCCCACTGCTGTTTGGTCTTCCATTTGGAGAGATGGCTTCGATCCCATCCATTTTATGGTTCCGTTCCACTGTGCTGTTCGCTACATTATTTTAAAATGTGTTTTTTGTTGCGATGCTTTATGACTAGGATGGTTTTTGTGTGTGGGCGAGGGGGGATTTTACATTGAGAGCTGCTTTGGCTCCCTTTGGGTCAAAATGCAGCCTAGAACGATTGATATAAATAATAAGTAAAACGAATTCCGCTCTGGGGCACAGAGCCATTCAGCACAGCCGAATTCGGAGGAAGCATTCTGCATGTTTGCCGCCCTACATTCAAACTCTTTGCTCTCGGTAGTTTTGGGTCATTATCGCTTTGAAAAGAAAACATAATTCAAGCAGAGCAAGACAAATGTAAAAAATGTAAAGCTTATTAACATTATACCCAGAACTTCTCCACTGAACTGTCGCTCCCACTGCTGTGACAGACTAAGTATTATTCATTTGCATGATTTGTTGTCCTGTTTTCTTTATCCTCAAGCAATTGCTACAAATTGGGGTTACTTATGCTAATTGAACATGGCGGCTTCTTTCATTTTAATGAGATTATTGGGATGTTCTTGCCTTTTGTGGGGGCTGGGATCCCTCCCCCCCAGCCCCCCGCGGACGAGAACCACAGAATCTATTTGGTAATGATACAATTAATATTAATATTAGTCGCTGTGCATGCGCAGTTGTTCATATGTTTTGGAAAGGAATGGCAGAAACGCATTAGTGTTTTACGATGCCTTGCCAACGTCCTCAGCCTGATTTCTTTTCGGTTATGACATGGGTTGGGTACAGATAACATATACAGAAATTATACCTATGTTGCTCAAAAAAACATACCTGCATGTACGAAAACAGAAGGGGAAAACTTGAATGATTTAGTTCAGGGGTAGCCAATAAGGCATCCTCTAGTTGTTGCTGGACTTCCACACCCATCGTCCTTGACCATGGGGGAAGATGGGAGTTGGGAGTCCAGTTGTATCTGGAGAGCAGCCACATTGGCCAGCCTTGGTTTAGTGGGAACATTTCTAGACAAGTGGATAAAAACAGCTTCCAAGAAAGTAGGAAGAGCCCTGCTGGATTAGGCCACAGGCCCATCTAGTCCAGCATCCTAAGTCTCTGATAGCTTAGTTGGTTAGAGTGTGGCACTGATAATGCCAAGGTTGCAGGTTCAATCCCCATATGGGACAGCTGCATATTCTTTTGTTGCAGAGGATTGGACTAGATGATCCTCAGGGTCCCTTCCAACTCTATGATCCTGTTCTCACAGCGGCCAACCAGATGTCTCTTGGTAAGTCTGTAAGCAGAATCTGAGCGCAAGAGCACTCTAGTTTCTGACAACTGGCATTCAGAGGCTTACTTCCTCTGACAGTGGAGGTCAAACAAAGCCATCGCGGCTCCTCCAAAACAGAACATCAGATGTTTCACCAACATCATGGTTGGTGCAAGGTGGTGATTTTTATCGGAACCCCAGGATGCTCCCCAAGTTGTGATCTCAATGAAAACCCTCCCTTCCACTCTTGTGATCAGCCTTTGAAAAAAACACAACGCTCTTATTGGTGCCTTTGTTCCCACTGGGGCCATTCATTCCCTGCCTCCCATATTTCATTTATTGATTTAGAAAATTTAGAGACGTGCGCATGCTTTCCAAGCAGTACAAACAAAACCATAGATCAAACGTGGCCGAAACCCACAAACCAATTAAAAACCATCACCATTAACAATGAAGATAAAAACTAATAGAACTTAGGAGACTAGTATACACGTGCCGTGGCTGTGCCCTGTTGAGCTCCAACCTGGCTGTTTCCCAGGCCAATAAAAAGTGGACTGAGAACACTCCATGGTTAAGCCCCCTTGAAAGACTCTTATTAATTTCCCTCTCGGCTCCCAGCTCTCAAGAATCAGCATCTGCTCATCGCTTGCTATCAGTTGCTTTCTCTAAACTGTTCCCGGTTACTCCAAAAGCAGATGTTCCTAACACACTTGACTGAGCTGAGTGAAACCGCTCAATTTAAAAAGCACGAGTGAAAAAAATGGGAAACAAGGTGAACTTAAAAAAAATATTAAAAACAAAAAACAAAACCTGGAGATGTTTAAAAGCCTCTGCTCCTCCAAACAGATGTTTGCCTTATGCTGAAGGCCTGTTTCCCATGCCATTTGTGGGGCGGAAACGCTGCAAGCAGGTGGCTGATGTGTTAACATGGCTAAGCTGAGCCATGAAGGTCAAGAGCTGGCATTTGGCCCAGTTCCATTTCTCAGCTCAACATTGCCCCCCTCCCCAACCCCCCCATAACCCTCTGATAACTGCCCCAAGCTCCTTCAAGAAGAAGAGGGATAATATTCGACAACATAAACAGGCTGAGACTTTTTCTTATCGTTGTTGTTAGGGTCAATGTGCATTAGGCTTTGAAGGAGGGGTGGGAAGCCTCATGCTTGGGGGCCCAAATACAGTGCTCAGGACTCCCCCCCCCCCGGCCACCCCACTCCTCAGACACTTCCTTGTCTTTCAGGCAACCACTGGGTCTGTGGTGCAGCCACTTTCGGTATACTGTTTTCTGGTTGCCTCACCTCAAAAAAGAATATGGTAGAGTTGGAAGAGGTTCAGATAAGCACAAGCAGAATGATCAAGGGGATCAGGGCCGGATTTAGATTTGATGAGGCCCTGTTTTTTTGTGTTGAATATATGTTATATGGTAATTTATGGACCTAATAGGTATCTGAAGCCATTTGCACACGTTGCCCTGCAACCAGTCCATGCAGAATGTAGCCTATATATAGAAATGAGCAAACCAGTGATATTTTAGGGAGCAGGCTAGCAGGTGGGGCCCATTGCTTCCATCATAGGAGCCTACACAACACAAAGCAATGTTGCTGTATGTAGGTTTTATTTTATTAGTTTTTTATCTTATATTTTGGAAATGTACATCCAGGTTTTTTTTCCTTTTTTGGGGGGGGACCCCAAGAGTGTGGGGCCTAAGCTATAGCTTGTTTAGCTTATACAGTCATACCTCTTGTTATGTCTGCTTCATGTTACGTTCTTTCAGGATACGTCCTGCGGCGACCCGGAAGTACAGGAAAGGGTTACTTCCGGGTTTCGCTGCTTGTGCAGACGTGCAAAATGACGTCATGCGCATTCGCAGAATCAGCAAATCGCAACCCACGCACGCAGACGCAGGTTGTGTTCTGCTCATGTTGCGAATGGGGCTCCGGAATGGATCCCGTTCGCAACCAGAGGTACCACTGTACGTAAATCTGGCACTGAAGGGGATGGAGTGTCTGCCTTATAGGAAAAGGTTGCAGTGTTTGGGACTTTTTAGTTTAGAGGAAAGGCGAGTCAAGGTGACAGAAGTTTTTTAAATTATGTGTCGCATGGAGAGAGTGGACAGAGTAAAGTTTTTCTCCCTCCCTCCCTCCATCTCTCCCTCTCTCTCTCTCTCTCTCTCTCTCTCTCTCTCTCTCTCTCATAATACTAGAAGAGTTTGGGTTTGGATTTGGATTTGAATATCCCGCTTTATCACTACCCGAAGGAGTCTCAAAGCGGCTAACATTCTCCTTTCCCTTCCTCCCCCACAACAAACACTCTGTGAGGTGAGTGGGGCTGAGAGACTTCAGAGAAGTGTGACTGGCCCAAGGTCACCCAGCAGCTGCATGTGGAGGAGCGGGGAATCGAACCCGGTTCACCAGATTACGAGTCCACTGCTCTTAACCACTACACCACACTGGCTCTCAATACTAGAACTTGTGGGCATCCAATGAAGCTGAATGCTAGAAGATTCAGGACAGTACTTCATGTAGTGCAGAGTTGAACTATGGAACTCTCTCCCATAGGAGGCAGTGATGGCCACTAATGTGGATGGCTTTAAAAGAGGACTGGACGAATCATGGGGGGAGAAGGCTATCAATGGCTACAGGCCAGGATGGCTCTGCTCTGTCTCCACAAGCAGAGGCAAGCAATGCTTGTGAATAACAGTTGCTATAAATGCCAAGGAGGAGAGCCAGTGTGGTGTAGTGGTTAAGAGCGGTGGACTCGTAATCTGGGGAACCGGGTTCGCTTCCCCACTCCTCCACATGCAGCTGCTGGGTGACCTTGGGCCAGTCACACTTCTTTGAAGTCTCTCAGTCCCACTCACCTCACAGAGTGTTTGTTGTGGGGGAGGAAGGGAAAGGAGATTGTTAGCCGCTTTGAGACTCCTTCAGGTAGTGATAAAGCGGGATATCAAATCCAAACTCCTCCTCTTCTCTTCTTCTTCTTCTTCTTCTTCTTCCACTTGGGTCCTGCTCGAGGGTTTCCTACGGCCACTGGTTGGCCACTGTGAGAATGGGATGATGGACCAGAAGAGCCA